AAATTATATAAAACTATCGAGAGTGAAGTAGTAATGCAGGCTGGAACACAAGGCAGCAAAAATAAAATTATATAAAACTATCGAGAGTGAAGTAGTAATGCAGGCTGGAACACAAGGCAGCAAAAATTAAAATGGTTAATTCTTTGAAGTTTACGTATTATTTTTCCTGAAAGTCGTCATATCGACCCAAAAAGTAGTGTTTTTACTGTTTCTAGGAGTCGACCAATCATAAACATCGAAACAAAGTTTGCAACAGTTTTAGCCTCCGACATGACCACAACATCACAAGGTTTAGGACTTTAGGGGGTTACTGGCAGTGCTAAATAGACGGAAACTGTCTACATAGGCATCTATCACAGAAATTGCAAACGTTATAGTTGCATTTAACATAGTCATAATGAATTTGTTTGTCCACACATTAAGAACAAAAACACGTTTTAAAGTTTTTTCTTATTTCTAACTATTAAAATCTGTAAAATGATAGAGTTTACAACGTAAATGTATTACATTTGTGTGTGCGTATGTATATATATATATATACGTAAATATATTTCCCACACTTGAAGATGAAGGTGCTTTATGAGAGTGACAGTCAATTTGTTAGCGTGGATGTTGGATAGTTGCCTTCCCTCTGGTCAGTAGTTGAAAACTAAGGATGGTAGCAGATAGCCTTAGAAGCGTTACCATAAAAATACAAAGTAGAGAACTTACAGCTGACATTACTCCCTAGAGTAACTTATTTATAATTTATGCCTTTCTTAACAAATTCATGACTTGGTGATTCTTCGTAGGGTATCGTTATTAATCACGTTAAAAACGTTTTTCTTCATTTGACCAGACTTTCAATTTAGAAGTGTTCCCCCCCAAAAATCATCGCTGTATTTTGGGTTATCCTCGTAAAACCTTTAAATCTCCTAAATTTCGAAATTTAAATTAATTTATTAAAATTGATTCACATCAAAAGTAGTCAATTCACCATTTATTTTGTGTGCCTGAATCTCGGCTTGTTGGACTTTGTTCAATAAACAACTCCATATATAATGAGTATAAGGGTACATCTTTACGTGTTTCGAAGTTACTAACTTACAGTTTATTCATAATATTACTGTTAAGATTGCTTTCCGCTTACATTATTCACCAAATTTCTTTTCCTCGTATTATATCCACGTTTTATCCTATTGAAAAAGTTGTACGGAAAAGAAGGCAAATTATTGTAATAATTTAAGTGAAATCTTATCTGGTTTACTTTTACTTTTCAGTCTTGATGACACATTGTTCTAATTCAATCATATAAACCCTGTAATTAGATATTTGCTAAAATTGTAATGATTACATGTTGTTACTTATCACTAATGTAAATAGATTTGTTCCTTAAGATTTCGAATCTCGTCCCTCAAAATACTCGCCCTTTCAACTGTGGGGCATTGTAATGTGACGATCAATACCATTGTTCGTTGGTAAAAACTAGCCCAAGAGTTGGCGGTGGGTGCCTTCACTCTAGTCTATCACTGCTAACTTAGGGACGGTTAACGCAAATAGCCCTCGAATAGTTTTGCGCGAAATTCAAAAACAAATAAACATTTTTTTATTTCTTAATTGGCTATCACCTTTTCATTACCTCCTTGATTTGGTCTTCAGAAATTTTATTTCTTAGTGGGTCAGCGGTAAGTTTCCGAACTTACAACACTGAAATTTGGCATTCAATTCCTCTTGATGAACAGAGCGCGAATAACCTGTAGATTTACGCTAAAATTCACAAACCACAAATGCAATTGGCTTCTCCTTGTCGCCTCTTCAACTTTAAAAAACAACTCTGTTATAACGTTAGGCCTAAAACCAGAGTGCTTATGCAATCAAATAATTTTTGTCATTACCGAACATATAAAATGCTGAAAAAAAACCGTTTTCCAAACTTACGTTCTCAAAGTGTATATTAATATATATTTAATTAAGATTATTTTCGTTTAATCAGACACGATTCAAACTGTTTGTTTTTTAAGTTATAGGCCACAGATGTTTAATCACATCATAATTTAAAACAAAAGCTAGTTTATATTCGAATATACTTACATCCATTTTTTTGTCCACAAGAAATATTCAGGTTTCTAGCTTTGACTATTACCACTGTCAACCTCTCTGCTGTTGGTAAATAACTTAACGAGAACATGATGTCCCCAAGATCTGTCAGTTTCTACTTTGAGACGTTACCAGAACGAAATAAAAAAAGAAAAATATTTCACTTTACGGTTACACAACCGCTTTTTAAACATTAATATACCCTCTATCATCTTCTGTTAGTGTTCGTTTGACCTCTCTGAAAATGTTTCTAATATTTACCCTTTAAGTATAAAAACAAATTAAAACAACAACAAAACCACTTAGTGTTTCATATTAGGTAACGTGTAAAATATAAAACACTTGTGCATCAAACAAAATCACATTACTTGAATAGACACAATTTTGCGTTGGAAGATGCATTTTCAACTCTGTAAAAACCTTAAAACATTTTACAAAGCGTCTGGTTAGAGCTTAGATTTTGTGTCCCCACGAGAGGTTTTGCCTCGTGGAAACCCCAGTGGGAAGAACTTCAAAATATCCATTCTGACTTTTTGTCTTCTCAGCTTCCTACTCAGAAACTTGTTCATTTGCAGCCACGGGTCATAAAAACTTGTTTGGGTGGTAGTGAAGTGCAAATATTTTAGGTCGGGTGCATAAAACCTACCGAAGGGCCCCAGGAGGGTCCAGGAGTCGAAGCATCAGGAAACTCGAGGGATTTTTAACATTTAGGGAGGCGACAGAACTACAACTCCTTACAAAAAAAAAATACACAATTTTTTGGACTGCAAATGAAGTTTGAAACAATGATGATAAATAGTGTAATGCATACAATCACAAGTAAACGAGTAGTCTAACCTTACCATAAGTTTTAACATATTTTTCAAGCATTTCTGGAGAAAGAAACGAATTTAATGCATTATTTCATGATTATTAAATTTTATTGCATGTTTAAAATTTACATGCATATATGTTGCACGTGTCTTTGTAGGAAGTCATCGTTTTCAAAATGATGAACAACACTAAGAAAAGCAATTTTACACTCTGAAACTTAGCACAAAGCACTTCCACACGGATACACCCAGAGTAACAATACTAGAAAATCAAAATGTTGCAAGAAATACTTCCCTGTGTGTTACGGTCGCTCTGACACTTCGTTTTCTTTTTTCTCTGATGATTTGCAATAATACTATCATTAATATATAAACTATCGATTTCATTCTAATCACTTTACAATCGTCTTATCAAATACTTGTCAAATTTCCTACCTTTACACATTCCTATTCCATTAGTATTTGCCAGAAAGCAAGTTATAAAAATTATGGAATTGTTTGTTTGTTTTGTTTTGAATTTCACGCAAAGCTACACGAGGGCTATCTGCGCTATTTGTCCCTAATTTAGCAGTGTAAGACTAGAAGGAAGGCAGCTCGTCATCACCCACCCACCGTCAACTCTTGGGCTACATACTCTTGACCGTTACATTATAACACCCCCACGGCTGAAAGGGCGAGCATGATTGGTGGGATGGGGATTCGAACCCGCGACCCTCGGATTGCGAGTCGAGCGCCCAAACCACCTGGCCATGCCAGGTCCGAAAACTTTGGAATGCAGAAAAGAAACGAAAGGATTATTAACAGTAAAAATGCTTATTTCACCATACAGGTAAACGAAATAAAGGAAATTACGCGAAAGTAGAAAGGTTACATCGGGAGGAAAGTCGAGTTAAGGATGTGTGGGAGAGGGATTGCACCCCTAGTTTGGAAGTGATTTTGGGGCTAAATCATCACATTAGACACAACTGAGATAATTCATTGTTCAGGTTTGTGCTAAAGCAAAAATAAAGATTCTCAAAACTTATTTATAGCACACTTCATGTAATCATATTCCAGATATTCAGACTAAATTCATCCGTGTCTGTCTAACAAGAATAATTATCATTACCTCCTGATCAAAGCGAGTTATTTACGTAGATCAGAACTAAAAATTAATTGAAATATACAAGTCTAATAAAGGGTATGCAATGTCATAAAACAAAAAGGGTCAGGCGTGGCCTAGTGGCTAGCGTACTCGGCTTTTGAATCCTTGGGTAAAAGGTTTGCGATTTTTTAGACCGTAAGTGCGTTATAAAAGTGACGATGAAATCCCACATTTTGGTCAGAGAAGAATAGCCTAAGAGTTGGCGGTGGGTGCAGTTGACTAGTTGCATTCTAGTCAGTCACTTCAAAAATTGGGATGTATACGTGCAAGTAGCCGTTTGTGTCACTTTGTACGACAATTCTGAAGCAAACAGGCATAAAACAAAAATTCATAACGATATAATACATTGATTCATTAGTTGGGTGCCCTTGCTATTAGCGATATTTTTGGCTGTGCTCTCAAGTTGAGTTTTTGTATATTCAATTGAAAAACTCGCACCACAAGAGTTTAATATTATCATTAGCAACTTCGTGCTAGACCTACTTTGTACTCACAAGTACAGTATCACATTTTGTGGTGCATCTACACAGACGTTTTCCAGTTTTGAAAATAACATCAACAATAGAAGAACCACCAACATTCTTAATTCAGAGCTCACCGGATTTGAGTCTAAGATGGGCATCCAATTTAAATATGGTTTTCTAAAATCTACGTCTGCCAACTTGATCTCGGCTTCTCCTATCAAGGTGTTTGTGTATTTATCTGATGTGAAGATGTAACAAAGCACCGATCTCTGACCGAGGTCTCGACTGTCGACTCCAAAAAGAAACCTTTCTTTGAACAAAGGATCGGCAGTACGTCTTTGAATCTGTTGAGAAAAAAACTGCTTCTATATTATTCTTTTTCAACCAAAAGGAGTTTCGTATAAGATATGCTTTGTCAAGTAGTTATGACTACTGAGTTTGAAATGACTATATCAAATTAGCCTCCAATAATAATAATGAAAAAACTACAGGATTTTCCCTATACGATTTAGCTGGATATGCAAATATAGAGGTCTACAGCGCTAAACTAACAAAGAAAATATCATTTCTAAACTTCTTATTAAAAATCAAATTAGTATCTTGCTAATCTAGAAAAAATCAACCAATTTACTTTATTATTAAATTATAACTCTAACTTAACAAAAATATGCATCATTTCAGAGTTTTTATAAGAAATCAAAGTCGTTGCTTGCTAATCTTAATAAAAATCAATCGCTTTACCTTATTGTTTAACTAACTGACTGACTCTTACCCTTGTTTGCATGTTTGTTGTTTTATCCGGCAACAGAAACACTCGAACGTAGCTGTCAACGTTCATGTTGGGATCCGGTCCTATTAGGTTACGTGCTTTGTTAACTATTACGATAAGGTCTTCTGTTTCACTATGTTATCAAGATAAAATGAATGAGCATCGAACAACTGAATGATATATAATTTTTAAGGATCAAAATAAAACTTGATTTAATAGACAAACACAATTCCAGCACATAACTGAACACACGCAAAAAATTTACACAAAGGGAAAATTAATATTGTTAGTTTACTTCGCAACAGTTTAACTAAACAAATACAGGTGTAGGACGCAATATTATCACCAGAACAACATAAAGAAAAGGACATTCTCAATAGCCGCGGCACTTGAAATTATTTTAGGCAGGATTAGAGTAAATTAATCTATCAGACTTTAAGCTTGTTCAAACACACCAATCGAATATGTTTGACCTTCTGAGTCCAAAACTGTAATTAGATCTCAAATCGGTCAAGAGATGACGGAGCTAT